GTTTTAAAGATATAAAGGTGTCCAAATTGACCAATGTTTGGTTTCCGAAACAACAAAGATAAGATCGTTGCACAAAATTAATAATTTCAACTGCCAAACTAGAAACATGATGTCGGTTTGAACAACTCAGATGAGTGTACAAAAGTTATGAACAACCATTTTAGCAACAGGGAATACTGATCTATGGTTGCATCTCAAAAACAGTTATAGTTTTCCTGCAAAAAAAACTATCATTTTTAAAGAGAATAATCGCCAGGAAAGATATGGCAACGCAGCATGATTGGGGAGCAGCAATGAGCATCGACTAGTTTTTTGGCACGGATTCAGCTTACTTTTCAAAATTTTGTACTCAAATTTAGTTTCGTTTAATGCGGTTTTTTCGTGATAACCTGGTGACCGCTAGGAGTCAACTAAGTTTTTCTCCATATGCGATTTCAATCTTCGAATCAAACCCTTCAAAAAAATCTATTCTGTTATTTGCATTTTCCACCAAAAAATTAATGCGTCTCACCTCGATTTTGAAATAGCATAATCAGGGGGTGGATCTATGGATCTATGATTTTCTCCAGGGGGGGCGGATTATCCCAAATTTTTCGGAAATTTAGACGATTTTTTTTAGGTCGACCAAATTGATTCTCTGAGCTCTTTTGGCCAAAATTTGTGCGCCGCAAGCAAGTTTTTGAAAAAACAGGTCAAGAGCAGTATTTTTGGCAAAAATTGCGTATTTTCGGCGCGCGCTCCCCCCCTCAAAATTAGTATAAATTGACGCCAACGGTTGCCTTTAGAAAAACTTCATGGTCCGTCACCATAAATGGAAAAATCGATATCTCAGAATAGTACAAAGGGGAGGGGGACCCTTTGGGTCGGCAGGGGGTCGAAATCCTGGGGGGGGGGGCGTCGTTTCTCCCTCTAAACCCGCTGGTGTATATATGTACGCATCGATTATAAAAAATTTGTAAAAACTTTTGTTATGAACTTAGTGTGAGTCAAAATTTACATTTACGCCTCAGCAAACCCCATTGACGTTCAATTCCTAAACAGAACCTACACAAAAACCTGGGAAAAAAAGGAGTACTTTGGATCTCAATTTTTCCCTACCTTCCTAGGTTTTCTGCAGGCTCATCTCTTAAGACAATTTATTTCCCCTTATTAAAAACAGTTTGAAAATTCTTTGTTTATGTTTTCTGAAAATTTTGTTTTCCTGTGGAAAAAAACATATCAGACAGTTTTCGTATACAAACTGTGTTTTCATGATTTTATTATCAAAATTAACTTTTTTGACAACCAAATAACTCTCAATCATCAAAAACTTTTGTAAAATTTCCATAAACGCAAGAAGTACTTGAAAACATTTTAAAAAGTTTTCTGCAAAAATATGTTTCAATGAAAAAGTTTAATTACTGCAATTTCTATATCCTTCCTAAAACCAGGGGCGTATTTAGGGGAATGAGGGCGGGAGGCTAATTTGCCTTGGTGAACCCCAGAAATTCACCAATACCCTGTCGTGAACTTTTTGAAAAATGGAAGCATTCAGAATATTTTTGTGTCCCAGAACTAAATGAGGTAAGGATCTGCATAGAGAGTTTTTTAGGCAAATTAGGGTACCACGGCAAGAGTAATAAAGTAAAATGCTAATCTCTAATAACTATAAATTGCAATACGGATTGAAAATTATTTTTCAATTACTTCTAGCAGTTTCCAGATAAACAGGTGTAAATTGTTAGTTATTAGACGTAAAACTTCGCAAACAAGAAAGCTAAATTTGCAGTTTGATGCGAACTCTTTTTTCATTTCATATAACAATACTTAAACAAAATGGAAAAAAATGCATTAAAACATCTCGATTTAATCACATAGGTTGCAAAAAAAACAAGTAATAGAAAATTGCAAAAAAGTTGAAACCTCTTTCGTTTTTTTTTTCAATGATTTGTGTTTACATGCATTCTGAGCTTTTAACTCAATCAGAAAGTAAATTACTGACACAAATTGTTTTGTTATCTGACAAAGTTTTAAATCTATATCCAATAAAAATTCTAAATCATTCAACAAATGCATGGCATTAGATGATGTTACTTTGTTAATTCTTCTTTCTTCTATAAATTCCGTTTCACTTGATGGTTTTCATTTGCTCATCACCCTGATGAGATAGAAACAACTTGATATTTGGTCCAAAAACTTGTTGTTGATGGCTTTTGCCAGTAAACAAGCTCATTTCAACAAACCAAATAAACGCATATCATGCAAAGTCTACCACTTGTATCTATTGTTAAAAGCAAAAGCTTACCTTTGTTTGGTTTTCATGAAGTAAATTGGAGAAATACTTATTAGAGTATCTGAGAGAATTCACCATCTAGCAAAATTGGATCAAACTTTGTTTTGATAATAATTTATTCCTAAATTACGTGACCCATAAAATTATTAAGCATATGTAACCGAGGCCGAGGTTTGCAATTTAAGTTTCGGCCAAGGCTTTCGAAAACAAAACCAGTGTTCTGCCATCAAAAACTTGTCAATTTTTTTTGTTTCCATCTGAGCAGTCAAAACGTAAATTGCAAATGTCGATCCAAGCATTAAGCAAAGAATGGGAACTTTATTTTACGAATGGCGAAGTTGCCATAATAACTGGTGCAAGTTCAGGGATTGGCGCTGGGGACAGGTAAAGCTCGCACAACTCGGTGTCATGGGGCTTTTGCATAACGGCCCGAAAAGAAGCTTTGCTGAAGGAAGTTCAGAATAAGTGTGTTGAACAATCGGGCGGAAGACTCAATGAAAACAACGTCATCATAGTCACAGGTAGTGCAATTAATTTGCTATGTAACTGATTGTTTTAGTTACTTTTTTTCCTACTGAAATGATGACTCAGAGTTATTTTGCTGAAGGTACTGCACGAGATGCCAGAAACATTGATCAACGGGGACGGGACTTCAAGAACCACAATTCAACTAATTCTCCGACTTCGAAAAATTTATAAGGGCGCAAAACAAATTGCTAAAAGGACAACCAATTTTTAGAGCATCTTTTTGGTCTTATACAAATTGAGGTCTGTCGGCCTCACTGTAAGTGCGTACATTAAATGGGTCAAGAAAGATTCTAATCACAAAGAAGTCATCAACCAAGCTTTTATCCGTCCATATACATAAACAGCTTGGTTTTCGAGAAGATTGAATCTACGTTAGGCTCAAAACTGATTTTTTGCTCGATAGACTAATTTTTATTCACTAATTTCATTTTTCCAAAATTGTTTCCCCTATTTCACTGTTCTCAGGGGACATTGATGAAGAAGGAACTTGTGCAGCTATTGCTCAGCAAACAATCAAACATTTGGGTCGAATTGACATTTTAGTCAACAATGCGGGCACCATTGGTGGAGGTCTCCAACAGAACACTCCAATCTCTCAGTTTGACTTTTTGATGAAAACCAACCTGCGTTCTCCTGTAGTTTTGACACAGTTATGCATTCCCCATCTCCGCAAAACGAAAGGAACAGTTGTGAATGTGTCATCAATCGCAGGAGTTAGATCTTTTTCTTATGCAAGTAATTATTGCATTTTAAAAGCTGCTCTAGATATGTTCACAAAATGTCTGGCTCTGGAAATGGCGCCAGATGGTGTTAGAGTGAACTCAGTCAATCCTGGAGTTATAGATACACCGATATTTGATAAACTCGGAATATTCGGCAAACGACGTGAGAAGTACATGGAGGAACGAAGAAAATCTCATCCATTGGGAAGAAACGGAACTGTAGATGATGTTTCAGAATCAATTTGCTTCTTAGCCAGTTCGAGGGCTAGCTTTATGACTGGCAACACGACCATGGTAGATGGTGGTCGAACTTGCGTTTGCCCCCGCTGAGTTATTTGATCTAACGCAACAATGCGCGCTGATGTTATTCTTTAAATTTTTAATCACAATTTTATCAGAGATGCTTCAATCTCATTTCATAAATAATTGCTTTTCACAGAGAGTAATTTTTCCAAAATCATAACTTTTTATAAATATCTCAACCCGTTTTTTTTATTTTCAGGCCCAATGAGTAAATTATCAAGCTTTTATTTTTTTTCAGTATGATTACCATTTTTGAGTGGTTTAATTTCATTTCGTTGCTGATGTTTAAGATTTATCTTCACTCAATTTCTTTTGACTAATTTTAAACATTTTTTGGCTCAGTAATTTATCTAGAGATCAAACAATCAAGTTTAAATTCCAAGAACCAAATAAGTTCAACTCAATAATTTCAAGCACTCCATGTTAATGCATTTACTAAACTCTCAATATGAGTTTCTTAAAGATTATACCCAGAAAGTCGAATACCGACTTTTTTATCTGCTTTCGTCAAATTGATAGCAATTCTTGTGTAAACTGTTTTAATTTGATTGCCTATATTTTGCTTTTTTGGTTCAGATAACTTGCAGTAACCGAGAATTAAGCAGAATGATTTAAATGCGGACCTTAGCAGCATTTTTAATATAATGAGGCTTTTCCTGAGGTCTAGAACTCGCCGCTAAATGCGCAAATAACAGGTATTAGACGGATACAGTTATCTATCAATTTTTACCAATATTAGAAACAAAAGCAAGGTAAATTTGTGAAGATATTATTGCCTATGCCACCAATATAATACATGTTGTAGCAATTTTGATCCTATTTTGAACAATCTTCAGTTGTTTTTTTCGTCTTTTCATTTGAGCTGATGGTTTTTCTCGGCTTGGAGTTTTTCCCAACATTGGTCTTTCTTCATAACGGTTAGTTAGGTCTATCTACAAACCGCCGCATGAGTCAACCAAAACGACAGTTGATTGCTCTTGTTACAGAGGAGAGCATCATGTGTTTTTACCCATTTTTAGTCAAGGAACCCCACACTGGATTTCCAAGGTTAAATTTTGGTAGAACTTGAGTTTTTTTTGCCAGTGTTCATCAAAGTGAAAAATAATCAACTAAAATTGAATAAAAATGAAATATTTGGTTATTAATCAATAATTCATTAAAATATATCGCAAATCATTTATAATTGATTACTTTTCAATATAGAAAAAAATTACAATGACAGTAGGGGTTGGAGGTAGTTCAGGAGTGGGAAGGGGGGCTTGTTAAAGGGGAGAGGTTAAGGGAATCTTTTTGCAGTTGAATAAGTTTAGGTTTAGAAATCAAGTAGGCCGTACACTCGTTCTGCAAAAAATTCCGCGCTTCCGATTTGATAAATGCAGTAGTTCTTGCAAAATTTTGCGCGACGCAAAACAAAATATTATTAGAAAAAAATCCATTTTTACTTGACTTTAAGTTTTTTAAAAACAATTGATTATATTAGCTCTTTATTCCATTTGTTGTCTGAATGCAACATGGGAATCTATTGTTTTGATAACATTTTAGATCCCAAAATGCATTATAATTGATTTTTTCTTAGATGCGGGATGAACTCAAATTTTAAAAACTTGTTATCAAATATTATTTCTAATTGGTTTAATTTTTCAGAGAGAAAGTGTTGATTAATTTCCAACATAGGCAGTATTAACCTGCTAATTTTAATTGAGGGCCAAGTTTTCCATATTAAAAGAATGTAAAAGTTCGCAACAGGTTTTCTATTCTACCACCCAGAAAGTGATCTACTGAATTCTATTTTTTCCAAACTTGATGACTGTTTTTGTGCGGTTTATTTTGTTTTGGTTGCCAATGCTTTTTAATCTTGATTAGTATAAATCTTGCGGGGGCCCAGAGGAAAACTCTAAAGCAGCATTTACAGAGTGCGAAATACTCGCTGTGGTCTGTGTACCAGTCATTGCCGTGCGTTTCACGCAACACATATCAGCCCTAAGAAAATTTTTTTTCAATTTTAGTTCTCCTTCTAAAGCCCCTTCTCTTGGATCAGTCTTTTTTTTTCACACCTTCTTACAGCGTCTAATAAAAATAAAACAGGAAATAAATGCGGGATCCGACCCCCTGCCTACCCAAAGGGTCACCCCTTTTTACTGTTTTGAGCTATACAATTTTTGACAGACTCTAAACTTTTACCAAAGGCGTATTTGGCACCAATACATACTCATCAATGAACAATTGTGACTTCAAAAATGCTTAAAGATATTGAAACAGAGCAAAAATTTCAGCTGAAAAAGTGAATGATAATTAATGAAAATAGGAGTATACCACAAACTTTTTATAAGACCAGATCACACTGACTCTAAAGCGCGCAATAAGTTTTGAGTATATTTGACCATTTTTTTGCAGGCTGGTAACCACGCAAAAGACAAGCAAACCATGAAAAAAACCTTTGAAAAAAAATACTGAAACAGCTCAAATAAATCTGGCTTCAGAACGGTCAAGACAGCTCATTTCTTTTTCTATATATACAATGCATGTCATACTTTCAGTACCAGTTTATCCCAATTTTCTTTGGATACACTATTAACAACTTTATTTAGTTTTATAACAAACATTTTTAATTGCCTGGCTGAGGCAATACCCGAAATTTAGATATTTCTTAGAAAAAGTAGCCCATTTGTTAATTGGTTGGTCTTCATTGGTATTCAGGGGCGTGCATAAATAAATTTTTTGCCATTTAAAAGATCATTTTTAAACAATTAGTCTCAAATTTAGCCACTCTTAATAATATTTTTGCAGTAAAGACTTGAAGACTAATTTATTAGCCTTTTTCTATAGTAAAACATAGGCAGACTTCTGATTCGGGTAGCTTTTACAAAGCTTGTTTGGCAGTGTCACAACAGACTTTTCTTAGATTACGATAAAAATGATCAATTGTGACGAGATTTGAATGCCCTTGCATGTCAATATACGAAATTTGGTTCAAAATAGTTTCCTAAAAATGTTATAAAAAAATTGAAGAAAAAAATAAACTGAAATTTTTACTTCTCTTGTAAGATCATGTTTGAACTAATAGGTTAATATCTTCCAAGCCAGCGTTCACTAAAAATTAAAATTGCTGAGTGCAGCGTGTAGAATGCTTTTTCTGATTGTCTGAAAATTCGCACGCAGATCCGAGTTGAAATCCTACCCCCCAAACGGCTTTGGGAGGAGAAGAGCATGTTAACTTGTTCCTGCTTTTTACCCTCCACAGTACACATATTCAACCGAGGTAAAATACTATGCATTTTTTTTGCTTCTGATAACGTATAATAAAAAGCAACCTGTTCTGAAAATTTCAAAGAGTTGTGATGATACATTTCATTTCATCAGGTTTGATTGTTTTTTGTTTCATTCATATTTTGCGAATTACAAAACATTCACTGCAGTTGTGTTGAGCGAGTTCATACAGCGCTGATTAGAAACAAGATTCCTCATATGAGAGCAAAGCCTTGGCTGTTGCGACTGCGCTTAAGGTCTATGGAAAAAAGAAAAAAAATCAGATTTTTTTGAAAAGCATCCCTCACACGTTATGTAAAATGCTATGTGATTTATTTGTTCCGACTTTCGACGAAAACGGAATAAAGAAGCTTAGGGTAGTTTTTTAAGCTTAAGGTAGTTTAACAGCCATTTTAGCAAAACTGCTGGAATAAAATGTTTAATGTGCGAGCACAAATTATTTAATTGATATTAACCCTAATACCCTACAAAGTCCTCTGCAATTCAACAAAAAATTGATGCTCTAGCAAAAATCTTTTTTGGCCAAAGAGCTTGAGTGTTTTCTGTTAAACGACCTAAAAAACAGTTTGTAAATATAATGCTTAAAACTGATTGGTAGAAAAAAGTTATTGTCTATTTACCTTCAAAACTATCTTTTAACACCTTAAATATTGGTGTGAGTTTGCAGTATTTTAACTGGACCTTACCTACACCTATAACAACCTAATATTACACCGAATTGTTTTCAAAAAGGGTTTTTTAGGTAGTTCCATAATTGGAGTCTGCAATGCTTATAAATAAATTTTATTGAAAAAAAATTGTAAGACAAGCATTTCGTAAATCAAAACGAAAAATGCCTTAAATTGGCTTAAGACTCAAACAATACAATATGCTAGCAGTGCTGGTTACATGAGAGCAATTTTGGAATAAAAAAAACTTATAAAAATATCTGAAAATTGTATGATATGCATTTTTCTATAGACAAAAAAAACTTTGAATTAAAAATTTGTTTTTCTTTTTTTTGGGTAAGAAATCGCTTCTGCGCTTAATTAAACAAAATATACAAATTACAATTTACATTGCATGCAAAAATAATATTTTGTGCAAATAACGTAATCCAGGTTTTCACCGAAAAAATTACAGGCAAGTGTTTTTATCTACAAATTTTTTTGTTTCATATGCTAAACTTGTAAAGCTTGATAAATTTTGATAAATTTGATTATTCTAATTTGTAAACATTTAAGGTCCCTTTTCTCAACTAGCAAAATTTTCACAAATAAACTCTTTCTAGCCATCTATTAAACGTTACGTTTTTGGTGAAAAATTCAGTGTGAACCTTTAACTTACATAGCTAATATCAGCAAATGCAGTTTGCTTGCGTAGTAAAAGTCACTCACGCCCTTTATGATAGAAAAACCGTAGTTAGACTGTTTTTGGATAAAAGACAAAACAATTTGTATTTTCATTTATTGGACAGATGCTTATTATATAATTTTTTAGACAAAAAAGCCCATCATACAATTTCTAAGTATAAAAAATTGCTTTTATGATAATTGCTTTTTTGTGATAAAAAGTTTGGCGAAAAACTCGTCATTTAATTCCAGAGTGCGGCAAAAGAGACTGAAAAAATTGTCTTACTATCGAAAAAATGCTTATTTTGTTTTTTCATACAAATTTTCTAGTCCATGAAGTTGTATGATAAGCATTTTTTGTCTACACGGGACCTTAAAGCTTACCCTTACAACGTGTGCTTGCCCTTCACTTTTAAAGTGAGAAACCTGAGAACGTTTTCTTACATTAACCGGCCTAAAATAAAAAAAACCTTACGCTTTGTGTGTGTGCGAGGGTCAATCTACAGGCGGGTAATAGGAGTAGTAGGTTCTCTTTTTGAAATTTCAGATCCAAAAAAAAGGATTTTCAAATACTAAATAGATGCTAAGACAATCAAAATAATTTTAAAAAAATCACATGTGTTGATTTCGTTTGGTTCGTCTGATACATTTTATGAAAAACTCAGGCGGCGTAAAAGCTTCCGTGAGCATGATTTCATCTGGGCGAGTGCAGGAGATAAAACTGTCAATTTTTTCAGCACTAAATAGAAAAAAAAAGATTTTCAAAGCTCTAATTTTGCACTTTTGAATAGGACATTTTTTTGTTTAGCTTTTGGTAGATTTAGTTAAATATTGAATTACAGCCCGTTTTGAAAAAAAAACAGTACTAAGATTCCTACTGTTACACTATTGCAAGAGCTTAAAAATACTTTTGCTTCAACTCAATATGATTAATTAACCATACCCGTGTTTTCATTGGGGCGCTATTTTGCAGGGGAAAAACCAATTTAGTTCTTGAAATGCTTGGAGCAATATCTGTTTTACAAGCGAAACTGAGCTTAGTTGTGCCTTTGGTTTGACTTTGCTTAACTGTTTCGCAGTGTGTTTAGCAAAATATTAAAACTTTTAACCAGACTTTATCGAACTTTTGTTTGACAGTAAATAAGTTAGTTTGAACACTTTAACCGAAGTGTCTGTCGCAATTAAAACAATTAGGGTTGAAGTTTTCAGTTAAATCAATTATTTCACAAACACTATTGAAAAATGGAACTTTATTTTACGAATGGCGAAGTCGCCATAATAACTGGCGCGGGTTCTGGAATTGGTGCAGGTACAGCTGTGAGGTTTGCGCAGTTCGGTGTCTCCGGTCTATGCCTTTCAGATTTAAATGGAGCTGGGTTGCAAGAAGTTCGGAAAAAATGCATTGAGCAGTCGGCCGGAAGACTCGATGAAAGCACAGTCATTACAGTAATAGGTCAGCTCTAAACATTAAAACTGCATTCTAAATGCCATGCTTCCTTTTTAATTGCAAGCATAAATTTTGCTTTCTAAAAGTAAGATGAAAAATTATGAAAAATTATCCTTCAAAACAAGATAAGCTAACATATCATTAAGATATTAAAGTTTAATTTGATTGCATTCAAGGTGATATCACTGAAGAAGAAACTTGTGCCGCTATTGTTGACCAAACAAAAAAATCTTTGGATCGAATTGACATTTTGATCAACAATGCTGGCATTGTCGGTGTTGGACTTGTGGAGCATTCACCAATTTCTCAGTTCGACTGCTTTATGAAGACAAACCTACGCTCTGTTGTAGTTCTAACCCAATTGTGTATTCCATATCTTCGCAGAACGAAAGGATCAGTTGTGAATGTCTCTTCAATAGCCGGAGTTAGATCCTTTCCGGGACGATCTAATTATTGTATGTCAAAAGCTGCTTTGAATATGTACACAAATTGCCTGGCTGTAGAACTGGCGCCAGATGGCGTGCGAGTTAATGCCGTTAACCCTGGATTAATAGATACACCTATGATTGATAAACACGGATTAGTCGGCGAGCAGCGCAAGAAATTTCTAGAAGACAACAAAAAATGCCACCCATTGGGAAGAGTCGGCACTGTAGATGATGTCGCAGACTCAATTTGCTTCTTGGCTAGCTCCAGAGCTAGCTTTATGACTGGAAATTTGACCTTTATAGATGGCGGCCGGAATTGTCTTTGTCCTCGATAAAAATGACACCAGATGCTCTCGAATATGATTTAATTTACTCAAAAGAAAGTCAATTTAAAACTGGTTGATTCAATCAATATGTTGACAATCAAATTAAAAAATAAAACTATATAGTCAAGATAGTATTTGCGCACGGGTTATCGTACAAGAACAATTTTTATGAAATGTGAACTCCAAATCACATGGAAAATTTCACCAGAAACTCGAAAACAATTTTCCATCCAGCAGAATAGAATTTTTGACTCCACTCGCAGTTTAACTAAGTTTCTGTTGAGAAAATCTATCGCATCTAAAATTTTCTCATATTCAACTAACTTCAGATAAAAACATTTATTAGTTTTTTTTACAAATAATTTTTATTTATTGTTTCTTTTCTGTCAGCTTCCTGTCCTTGACCGACAGTTTCTTGCCCCTTGGGTTCAAATTGCCATGATATGCTTTGTTGAGTATATTCTCATATAATTTTGATTTTTTTTAAATCAAACTGTACAAAAAAATTCAAAATCCTAACAATTTTGAGAATTGGAAATGTAACTCTAGGTGTATTTTTTTTCGTTTCTTCATAACATCCTCCCTCTGCATCCTGCTTTCTTCATGGCACGAAGACTACTGATGAACACAAGCGCTCAATCACAAAAGCGCTTCATCATTTTGTTCATCCGAAACACCTTGGAGGTGACTCCTTTTAATTTTAGCCTACTGACTTGCTTTTCAGTGCTGGTATATGGCGGAAGTAAATTTTTGCAATCTGCTTAAAATTCAATTTGTTTCTTCAAAATTAAAACAGTTCAAAAACAAAATTATTGGATCTAAATTTTGAAAAGATACAGCTTGAAGAAACAGTCATTTAGATAAGATGTATTAAAACTTTGATTTCCAGACGAGCCAATTTCTTTCACGCTTTCGATGTTTTCTTTGCAATTAATCAAAAGACAAGGTTGAAACTAGTGAAAAGAATTTCTTTATAAGAGTTTTTGTTTGACCAGTCACTCATGAATTGTCCAGAAATGTTTATGTTCAGGGGCGGATTCGGGGGAGGGGGCGGGCGTTGATTGCTTCTTCTCAGGGATTCGACCCCCTGCCGACCCAAAGGGTCACCCCTTTGTACTATTGTGAGATATCCATTTTTGGTGACGGATCCTAAAATTTTAATAACGGTGCATTTGGCGCCAATATATACTAATTTTGAGGGGGGAGCGCGCTCCGAAAAAATGCAATTTTGTTGACAAAATTTTCCAAAAAGTGCTTTCGAACGTCTTTTTTGGTCCACTTTTTCAAAATTTTGCTTGCGGCACTGAACATTAGGCCAAAACAGGGATTTTTTAGTGCTTTGGTCGACCTAAAAAAAAGGGACAATTTTTTCGAATACTTTTGAAAATCTGCCCCCCCCCCCCCTCAAGAAAAACCTAGATCCACCCCTTTTCATATTACTGAAAAAATTGTCATGAACATCCCATAAAAAGAATATAATAATAAATTCGTTCACGAATCAGGCACATTATAAAAATTTGTGGATTACGAATGCACAATTTTAGTAGCGCATATTTTTGTTTTTATAGAGTCCAAATTTTTGTTTTTATCCAATCGAAACGAGAAATAGTGCATGAACCGTTTTTGTTGATGTAGATCTAAACCATAAAGATCAAGAATTTTTGTTTATCATTTCTTAATATGAAGCAAACTAGTTACTCATCAAAAAAGTATTCAACCCAGTTTTTACCAAAAAAAACCTTTGCACAGAAATCAGTATCATGTAGATACAAGTCTCTGAGTTTATGAACAAAACTGTCTTATTAAATTGCTGGGCCTTGCATTACCTTTAACAAAATTGTTTAGTTTATTTTGACAATCTTATTGAAAAGAAGACTGACTCGCTCACATACTTTTCAAATTAAATTTATTCATAATAGATTTCGTTTATAAATTTCTTATTCGCGTGTCACTCGAACTTTGCATAGTTAATTCTTTTGATGTTAAAAATTTACTCACATATTTACTTGTATGTTCTTTTTTTTATAAATTTTAAAAGTTTTTTTAAGACTTCTTTTGTGTGTAGCTCATATATTGAGTAATTTTTTTCGTCTCGTCGATCTTACTTTATTGAATTTTCTTTTCCTGGTAATTGTTCCTATAACAGAAATTGTTCCTTCTGTAGTTTATCTAGATTTTTTTGAGGTGCAGCCATAAATCGGTATTCCATATTGATAAATTGGCTGTATGTACTTTTTATAGACTTTCATGAGTTGTTCAACCGATAACATATTTCTAATTTGTTAGAGAAATGAAATGAATTTTGCGCATTCATTTTTCATAATTCAGATATGTTAGGTGAAACTCAAGATGCGATCAATTTGAACTCATAAATATCTAACATTATTCTCTGCTTTTCGGACATTCCCTCGAAACTTTATCAATGGTTTCAATTTCTTTGAGCTGAAAACAATTGCTGTGGTTTTGCCTTGATTCGTCGTAAGTTTATTTGCTGCTATCCATGCTTCTATGTTATTCAAATCTAGATCATAGTTTTATTCCGAATTAGGGAAACTATGTGAAACAAATAGCTAATTGTCCTTTGAACCTAGTACTAAAACTATAGATTGAAGGTTACACAATGTTGCAAACTTTTACAAGGCTACAACAGCGGAATGGAAACTTTTAGTAACCAACAAAAGGCGTACACGTTTTAAAAGTTATGTCAAATCATACCTGAAAATAAATGCTACATAGGAGTTTTTGACGATTATTTTAACTCAGGGATGAAAATACTTAAATAAAGGCAGCAGAGTTTTGAAATTTAATCCGTCTTAGAAATTGTTCCAAAATGGTTCAAGGAAGCTTATATGCTGTAATTGATTTGTTACAAGGAGCAAAATTAATTGTTTTGTATTTTATATGGCATGTGGGGGGATGATTTTCATAGTAAAATTTCAAATTTTAGAAAAAAAAAATAAATTCATTTTTTTTTAAATTTTCGTTTAATTTTTTTATGTTGTTTTGTTTATAGCTATAGCGACTGATTGATCGATAATTGTTCCGACTTTTGTAACGAAACTAACAGAATATTTGATAGTTTTTTTCTTAATATCATTCAAAAAGTATTGTTATTTTGAGCTTAATTTTGAAAAAGTATTTTTATTTGTGATCTTTTTTTGTGATGTTATGAGGGCTTAAAGATTGTCATTTTGGCCAATTTGGGACAATTAACGCGCGATATAATTCGCGCTACTAACGCGTAAGCGGAGATTTAATCTGTCTTAGAAATCGCTCCCGTTCCAAATTGGTTGAAAAACCTATGTGCTATAATTGATTTGTTACTAAGAGCAAAATCAATCACTTTATACTTTATATGGGGTGAGGGGGGATGATTTTCACAAAAAATCTCAGTTTAAAAAAAATCATTTTTTAGATTTAATTTTTTTCAGGTTATTACTGTTCCATAGAGAGACAGTCGGAACATTCAGGGTTTCTCCCTGATACGAGCAGTCTTGTTGTTCCGACTTTCGATACGAAAGTAACGAAATATTTGTGCTCGGGTGTGTTTTTTTTCTTCAGATAAACTTCGACTTTTTTACTAGCCATTTTTTACGGATTTTTTTATATCGTTCGAAATGTACTTATGTTTTGAGCTTAAGCTTTAAAAGATACTTTACCTGTGATCATTTTTCCTTGAGTTATAGGAGTTTACAGATTGGCATTTTTGCCAATTTGGGACAATTAACGCGCTATATATTTTGCGCTATTAAATCCATCCTAGAAATCGTTCCAAATTGCTTGAAAGAAGCTTACTTGCCATAATTGATTTAATACAAGGAGCAAAATCCATTCTTTTGTTTTTTATATGGTGTTTGGGAGATGATTTTTATTTAAAAAATTCAAAATTTAGAAAAAAATTGTTCATTTTATTTTATTACATTTAATTACTTTATGTTATTACTGCTCCATATACCTTAAAAGGTAGTCGAAACATTCAGGGCTTCGCCCTGATACGAGCAGTCTTGTTCTAAATGACGCTCAAGTTCAAGGTGATTATGCGCAGAGTATGACGGTAAAAAACTCAAAAACTGTCAACACGGCGCTAGTCCAGCTTTCATATAACTAATAAGATTCACTTTGCCAATTTTATTTTGAAAATGTTTCTGTTCATAAATCGAAAAGATTTAGGGCTGCAAAACTGTCAGGTTAAAATTAAAGCAATTGATATGGGGAGGGTTCTCATGCTTGAAGGACCGAATGCTTGAAAAATTCAACCAATCAAAATCGCTAAGCGTTTCTATTGGCTAAAAGCCTTTCTCACAAAATCGAAGTCAATATTAACAGAAAATGTATTAAATCAGAGGAAAATAATCAAAAATATTAAAAATACTAATCAGCCGCAATACTATTCAGATAATCATCAAGATTAATGAGGTCAAAATCATAAGAATTTTTCAGTCTTGAAAACTCATCTGCTTATTATTTAATCGGTCAATATTAACACTAATGGTCTGGATTTATTTTCTTACTTTGAGATTGTTGCGATTTACTTTGAAATTTTTAATACCCATTTCTGATTGGCTGAAAGTAAGCTAAAATTAATTTCAAGCATTCGGTCTTTTAAGCAAGCGGGACGCCACCAATTGATTTTAATTAAAAACCCAACTTTATTTTGTACAGTTTTGCGATAAACTTGGTTTGAACAAAGATGCCGCGTAATCGATTTAAACTGTACGAAACACCACTGTATCTATAAACGGTACTAGGGATTTTAGCAGACCGCGTTTTTTAGCCGACCAATCTTTTAGCAGACTCAGAACAGTTATAAAGTCAGATAGCTAACTTCAAACGCGGCATTGGCGATTAGCGACCGCATGCTCCGCTGCGCTTCAATTCAACACGATTATTATTGTTCGGGTAAATCTTTGTTTTACCGCTAATTTAGACTGTTGTGTTTTTGAAATTGATAGTTTTGTTGACAAATCGTGAGATAATTGTCTTAAATGGGGGAAGCTAGACCCCAGACT